GAATTTAGAGAGCAAAATATGGGATTGAGCTTTTAATCTCCCACTCACTCAATCAGAATTTTAGACTGGCGAAGCTATGGAGCCTGGAGAACAAAGAATTGGGGAAAAAACTAATCTTGTGCCAGTGCTTCAAAAATGCAAATAAGATCACTTGAGTAACTGCGGACTAAAATTGTGGTCAGATAAAAGTATGGAAATAATGATGTATGGTTGAGTCAAAAGAGAGTAAAATGATGGTAGCATAATTAATGCAAAGTGTCATGATTTTAAATAAAATGTTTTATTAAATAATATATTTTAAAGATATTGCAGATTTAATTAATTATAGTAATTAGTTGAGAGAGGTTGCTTAAACTTGTAAGTTGATGTAGTTCTGTGTTTAATATGATTCTTAAGGCTTTCAACCGTGTTGTCTGGAGATCTTCAAGATGGAGGTCAGTGAAATGGAGACTAATCAGCAATTTTATGTTGATGCAGTAAACTAGAATTTATTGTAAAGGAATCATTTCATAAAACAGAATTTTTTTTAAACAGAATTTGATACCACAATCCTAGCTTTTCATGCAAGTAGAAATGCTTTCCAAAGTTGCTGAAAGCTGGGAAAGTTAACCCTTTAAAAATCTCAATCTGGTTTAATGCCTTTTATTTGAAACTCCCATGTAAAACAGTGTCTAGACTAGCTACTGATAGCTTTAGGAAGACTAAAGGTTTGGCATTTGTGCTGTAGCATTCCCTCCATGCTCATCCCTCTGAAGACATCCTCCATGTTTTTCTTTTTATTGGTTCTTGAGGCTTGTTTGGGGGGGGGAACAGGTGTCTGTAAGGGGGAGAGCAAATCTTGAGTTTAACCCAGGAAAGGCTTTTTTTCTTTGGCATAATTTGATTCAGCTTGGCTCCTTGCTTTGATGCTTCAGCTGCTATTGTAAAGCTTCCTGATATCTGCAAAAATCTAAGTTTTAGAACTGCATACCTGAAGTATTTGTAACATTGATCTGTGGTTCCAGTAAATAATCTGGAATTAGAATTTAGGGAGGTAACATTTCTTTTGGAATAGTCTATGTTGACCTATTATAAACTTCTTGTGAAGTGTCAGATTTGTTTGTTTACCATGTAGAGAATTTGGACTACATTCCAGCTTTTGAGTGGGCAGTTTCTACTTGGGGCCACCATCCCTTAGCTGACATGAATCAGTTTAATAATAGTCAGCTGCAGTTTTAATAAAGTTTTTTACAAAAATTGCATGTTCAGCTGCTAAGGGGTGTGGGGAGTTACTAGACAAACAGCAGTATGTATTTGCCTTGGAATATTGCTGAGAACGTACTTTGCTATCAAGGTGGTAGATAGCCAGATATTGTAGGGTGCGCTCTTTTTTTTTAATTGCCTTTTGCTGATCTTTAGTTGATGCAGTTTTCATATTTCTTATAAAGGAGCCAGCCAAATTAATACACCGATATATTTATTTTTAAATTCCAGGCTTAAATTTTATTGCAACTATTTGGTCCATTTTCTTCTCTGTACAGTATTGCCTGACGTTTGTGCTTCCCCCCGCCCCCCTTCCAGATACTGCTTGGCTTGTGTCTCACTGCATTAATAAGATTTCCTTTGTAGTAGTGTGGAAGACTTTCTGCTTGTGTTCCTGGATGAAAAGGATTGCTTAATCAAGGCCCAGAGCTCAAACATGGATGCTTCTGGAGAGGAGTTGAAAGGACCACGAGTAAATTTGTGACTCATCTCTAGAAGCCTTTCTGAAAAGGCCATTCCTTTCTGCTTATTCATTGTTGTTGCCTTTATCTTTTGCCCATTTATCTCAGTTGTCATTATTGAGCAGTGTAAGGTGATTTTTGTGACTGTGGACTTCTATTCACTCTTTTATTGTTTATAGAGATTTAAAAAAATTGTGAAGCTGATGAGTTTGCTTAATATATTTTCTTTATCTGTTAGTCGAGAGCTCTGTTCTGCAGTACATACATGACTTACAGAGAACTTAAGAGGCATTGTCAGTAATTTAATCCAAGGAATCAATGTTTATGTGAGAGTTTATTATAGTGTTTTTGTTTTGAATACAAATTTACAAATCATCTGTACATTATTTTTTTAGGCATCCAACTTTGGTCATTCATAAGCCGGTTTTCAAAAAATGCTTGGGTACTTCTTGAAAGTTTTGTTTGTTTTTTTATCCTTCATACTGTATGCTTCATTCTAAGATAATGCATAATATAATTGCTGACCAAAAAAGGCAGTGAACAAACTGATGTTGTGAAGCTGTCTCACTCTTTTGAAGAGTGGGCACGTACTACTACTATTTTTGTTAATTCCAGTAAATGTGGGCTAATGGCCCACTAAATTAGGATTTCCATTATTTATCTAGGAGATCATTAATGCATCCATGAGTAGTTTCATAGATGTCAATAATGGTGGAGGAGCTGGATTAACATAAAGGTCTGCAGAGCGGTGAAGTTACTAATGGGTTTTAATTTTTTTCTTACATGGGATTGACTCCATTCAGGTTGTTCTGTTATGTTCTATGCATGTTCCTCATACAGGGAGGGAACAAATTTTTTCTTCCCTTGAGGGGCTATGCAATAATCCTACAAAGCTGTCTTTGCACAGAGCATGCTGTTTCTAGAATCGGATGAAGAGGAGGAATCGAGGAAAGGAAGAGTTTTTGGCACTCGATCTGTGATGAAATACTTCTAGTAAAGTGTGAGGGGAGAATAGCATGTCAAATGTACTCTTTTCCGTTCTAGTTTCATATTAGTAGCAGAGAATTAATTAATTTTGACCAATAGAGTCCTTTATTTGTTTGAACAAAATATTTGGAAAGCTATCCTCTCTGGTTACATGTTTGGAAACATAAGTAATGTGGTGTTCCGTAATGTTAATGAAACCTTAGCAGCAAATGAGAGCTTTGTGGACTAAAGAGCCTAAGTAGGACAGCAAAGGCTTTGTTCTGCTGTGCACTGAAGGAAGCTAGTTGTTCTTAATGGTATTGGATGTTGGCTCCATGCCAAAAGCACCTTTTGGAAACTTCTGGATGCCCTGTTAATGTTGTCAGAGTAATTACAAAAATGAGTGGAATATAAAAAAGAAAGGCTTCTTGAGATTTGTGATGTATTTTTATGCATATACGCAGCAGTAGTTTGATACGACAGCATGGTAACAGTCTCCTTCTTCCCACACACAAACAATGCATATGCAACTTTTCTAAAAACAAGAGCGGGAATGTCACTTTATTTGCCAAAAGATATTTAGTGTGGAAATGTCCAGTTGGTGTGAAGTGGGTGCATCAGAAAAATATGAGAAACAGGCCATGGCTTCCTAAATATATTAAAATCTTGTCTTTAGTCCCTCTCCTATCTCTTGGCTGTTTCTATGGTTCTCTGGTGAAACAGATCAGGGAAAGTGGTTGTGGTTTTGGTAGAGCGAGTGATGCAGAGGCAGCAGCACATGGCTGGTAGTGCAACAGGATGAGTGCTTTTGGTTGGCAGTACTTGCATGCCATTGGATTGAAGTGTTCAAGGCACTAATGGCCATGGTTGTTAGTCCATGGTGTAGGATACTAAGAGCCGCAAGGCAAGATTTGGGAGCAACCTTAATCCTGTTATGTTCTTCTTTATTATTCTTGTTGATTGTGTATAGTTGTGTTGTCTTGGTATCTCTTCTAGTGAATACGTTTTCCTTGAGTCTTAAGCCCTGCAGCATTTTATGGTGTTTTTTGATTTAACTTCAGATCATCCGACTGCATGTTGAAGTTGAACTTAAATTGCTAATGCTAAAGGTCGACATAATTCATTAGGTTCAGGCAAGTTACTGAATCTGCAAGACACAGCTTCTGATAAACACCCCTCAGTTTTTTGTACAAGTTAAATAAACTTTGCCTTTAAATGATTTCTTTAGCTTTTTTCTTTTTCTACTTATTTTTTTTTAAATCTACTGTAACGTGTATTTGGATTCAGTATATACAGGACACAAACTTTGATGTTGCAGTTGCGTGTCTTTTTGGATTACTAAGTAACTGCTAGGAAAAATTTACTGTAAATGTTGTTGTAAGCTGAAAATCCTTTATTTTTCCGCTGTGGCAGATTTTTAGCATAAAATACAAATATGTGCTAGACTAAAAATACTTTGTACCTTTATTCATTCCTGCCTAATTCCAAACCCCCATGTTTCCACTTTTTTTTTAAATTTTCAACTTGTTCCAATTAGTGTATCCTTTACCTGTTGATAAGTACAGAATACAGTGAAAGATTGGTTTTTGAGATGATTTAATATATTAAAAATCCCCCAAGTTTTTTTGGAAGTGTGGTTTATTTTGGACTGTTTCTCTTTTTTTTGTGCCTTTGCTTTGCTATAACTTTCTTAATGGCTAAGGACAGGTTTGCTTTCTTTGGAATCTCTTGCTAGAGCTGATCATGAACTGTGTATATAGATTTGCTTAATAAATGTTTTTCATATGCAGACTACACCCAACTTAGTCATGCAGCTATAATTTATATTATTTTTCTTTCAGTGCGTAATTGTAAGAGTGGAAGTAATTTTTTGTATCCAATGAAATTACAATTTCTTGTGTTTTAAAACTGCCAAACACATCTCTTCTGTGGAACAGTCCCTTATTTATCTAATACTGATCTTCGGTTATGTCTTCATTATCATGGTGGAAAAGATCCACTTTTGAATTCAAGGATTTCTAGGGGGGGAAAAAGACACACTTGCATTGTGAAAGTGATCAAAGACTGCATACAACTTAAAATGCAAGTATTTAGAGCTGTTTTTACAGAAAGAGGGTAGATCTGTGCCTGCAAATACAGCTTACTGTTCTGGTATATGGCTCTGGTATATATGTATACACACACGCATGACCGATTTATAACTTGAATAACTTCTGTCCACGTAGCAAGCATTCCTCCCAGCACAACTTATAAATAAATTGTATGTCGTTTCTGATGCTGCTGTGATTCTTAACTAATTCTGGGTATTTTTATTTCCTTCTGTTTTTAAAGGATCAGTTTGATAACTTGGACAAGCATACACAGTGGGGCATTGACTTCTTGGAGAAATATGCAAAATTTGTAAAAGAAAGGATAGAAATTGAGCAAAACTATGCAAAACAACTGAGGTAAGGATTTTTTCTTTTTAAAAGAATCTTAACAGTTACTTAAAATCACTGTATCAGATGATGGGCAAGTATGTAATGTCATGATGAATGACCATTTTTCATTCACAGGGTGAATTAGATCACTAGTTCTTTTCATGACAGACAAGTTTTTCTTTACCAGTCCAAAACAGAAAGTTATCTTTGGGTGCGTGCTTACTTTCTTGCTTGTTTTTGCCTTCTTCCCTCCCTCTCTTCCCACCCACCATTCAAATCTTGGAACTAAAAAGGTTTAAGACTTAAAATTTAAGATTCAAAACAAAACCACAGTCATATTTTTCCACTGACTAGCAACATGTTTGTTGCAAAGTGCATTATCTATATCTGCATTTGTGTGTGTGTGTGTTCAACCAGCTTCAAGCCTCTGCTACTAACTAATTTCTCATGTTGAATTGGCAAGAGCTACACTAAATTGTGTTGAGAAATCTGGTTGAAATCATTGAGTAGAACTTGAGAAAGCAGATCTTCCTGTCCTTAAAGCGTGCCCTTTCTGCAGCTGGTCTTGTCCCTTTGGGTGAGACTGTAACCCAACCACCCTTTGTCTTACCTCTCCAGTTTACTTCCTTTTGGTGCCAAGTGAAACATCCTTTAGGTCCAATAGGAATTTCCCCTCAGGGATCATATGAGGATTGTACAAGAAAAGTAGCAGCACTGAAATGGCAGAGAAGCACATTCTTCAGAATAAAGTAGGATTGATTTTTACCAAAAGGTGCACACAGTGCTTGAAGAACAAAATTTAAAATAAGACACTCCTGTGAACTTGGCCTTCACAGTAATCTTGGCTGTCTTGCATTCCTTTGGGGATTCAGCTGAAGCTGCTGCCTAGCCCTTGTCAGAAACTGATAGCAGCTTCTCTCCTGTGGTGTCTTCCCTCATGTCATCATTGGCAAACTAGACTGTCACCTGATACAGAGCTGAGGAATCCTTCCTCATAAATGCAGTAATGAGGTTCACAGCTGAGGTTATGGATGTTTTCTGTCTAGGCTAGTCATTTCCTTTTTGATTTCTTTATCAGTTTCTTTTGTTCCAGTTTTGTATATTCATCTAACATAATACCCCATTACTTTTCTGAAGGAATTTTTTTCTTAAAAGGAAGGAAATAAATACCACTTTCCCAAAGCTTGTGTAGAAGAACTTCAGAAGGTAAAGGAAAGTTTGAAGAATGCACAGCATCAGTTCACAGCCGAGTTTTGATTTGTTTTCAGTTGTCTGTTTACGAATGGAAATGTGTTTTATTTGCATGGATCTATCCAGATCTTTTCCTTAAATAGTATGAACAAATGCCATTTTGCTTAATTATATTTAAAGGTTCATTCCACAGCTAGCAAGATGTGGTACCACATTATTACTTCAGGATTTGACTGACAATAGGAGATCTTCTCTGTGCAGCATTTTACTCTTTTGGGTAAAACTATTGATTTTTCTCAAAGTGTCTTTCAAAAACGAAAGAGTTATGTCAAGTAAACCTTCTGTCAGATGACTGGACTGACTGTCCACGTGCAGTAAGTGTGACAGTTTTGAGAAGCACAGGTCTTGCTGCACACGTGTTGTACAGTGCATGCATGCACTTCCTGCCTGCTGCTAAGGAGGGTCTGGACAGCACGCACACGAGAGGGTGACTGATTTTCTGCCAGTAGACCAGTTTGTGAAGCTACTCTTCGATATTCTTGCTGGTGTATTCCTTGGGGGAGAATTGATTGTTAGTAGTGTTGGTAGTGAACTGTCTTGTGGTAACAACTTGATTTCAGCCATCGTTGCTCTTGAGGACACTCACTGTTTTTAACCATGTAAAACAGTTATGAGGCCCCAGGGGAGATTGAGATCAAGGAAAAAAAAAAGTTAGCCATCCTGCAGCTTGCTTCTGAGAAGTTCTGAGAGAGAAGATCTTGAGGATGGATTATGGTTCTGGGGGATTTTAGTGCTGGCAGCATATGGCCTGTGAGATATTAATATCTCTGATAGAAATTTCTAGTTAATCATCGTTTTTTCCTTCTGTAATGAAATGCAATCTGAAAACTAGAATATTGAGAATCTCTTCATAATGAAGCTTATAACCGAGATTTATTATGCCCTTGTTTAGTAGATATATAAACAGTTCGGTGAGTGGTCACTTTTTGGTAGTCCTATGGCTCTCTTAGTACTTGGATGGGAGACTAAGAAAAAACAGGTTTAATGAGGGAGATAATGCTAGTGATGTATGGTGATATTTTTTTTCTGTCTTGGTTTCAGTGTGGTCCATGAACATCCTGTTGAGGTTGTTGATGGATCTTATTCTCATAGACTTAAACCCAACAATGAAAACTTGAGTGAATTTTTCATAACAGTTTTCACAAATTAGAGTCCGTGTCCTGGCAGAAATTCACATTCACTTTGTGTATACCCTTGCATTTTGATAATTTTATATTTTTTTTGTATACTGGCACAACTTAGTGATTAAACTTTCCCAGGTGCAACAGCTGTTCCAAGTCTTCTAGGAGATGACAAGTGATGCATGTACAGCATATGAAGAACTGTTAGAGTGAACTCACTATATTCTTACTGTATGCAGTTGTTGCAGTTTATGCTCACTAAGTAATTCCAGAAATGATAACTTGTGAGAATCCTGTCCAAATGCTGGTTTTAGGTTGCAAGTCATTCCTTGCTATTCTTCTTTGATAGGCAGTTCTTGATACTGAGAAGTGTAAGAAAAATTGAAACCATTGAGGAATCCTCAAATGTCTACAGAGGAAAAAAAGCTGTCTAGAGAGCTTGTGTTTGTCTGCAGTATACTTTGTTCTGGAAAAAAGCAACTATAACTTCATTTTTTTGAGCTAACTTAAAGGAAAATCTGAAGTTGTGTGTAGCTTAGGTCGCAGCTAACATATTGTGGTACCCCAAGGATTGTGAGGGTTATTATAGCCTGTTACTGAGTTACAAGGATATGAATCAGGACAAAAATACTGCAGTATACATTGTAGATTAACAGATTTCATTTTAATTATATGACCATTTAATTTGTTCTTATTTTATAACTGGAAAAGATAGATTTAATATGTGCCAAGTTACTGGGCTCTTGGCTGAATTTTGTAATGGAGTTCTCAGATGCTGGTTTTGGTCAGCATTGTTGCTTAAAAGGGGTGAGGTGAAGGTCTGTTTTGTTTACTTCCACATCACCACACACAAAATAATTCTGGAAGTTCACTCCCTTCTTGTTCTGTATGAAGCATCATGACACTTGAGAAGACAGAGGAGTTCCACTTCCTGTGATGTTAGGCAGGAATGCAAGTTACACCTGCAGTTATAGGTGAAACTGCCATCCAGAATAAGATTTCTGAATTTGGTCAGCTTCTCTATTGTCAATTTAAAGAAAATAGTGATGATTGTTCTTGAACTATTTGAGTGTTTCCCTTTAAAATTGTACATTGTGATCTCTGGAGATGTCTAGTCAATCTGAGCAAATGTATTTTTCATGTTCCTTCTGCATACTATTGTGTATAAGTGTTCTTTTTTCTAAATACAGTATTAATATATGCATACGTCCAGTCAAATTGAGACAGTTACCACATTTTTATATGCACAATCTTGGAAACATTATTTAAAATGGGTGTAAGCTCAAATGTGAAGTTAGGGATGCAAATTATCACCATATGTGTTCATTTCTCAAATCTCTCTTCCTTTGATTGGAGCTGAGAGTTTACATCACTGATTATTATCCAAATATGGATGTGGCAGGATTTTTTCTAGTGATGTTTCTGCGAGCCAAAACATACGACTTCTTAATGGTTCCAAGGATATTTGGCTTTGTAAACTCAAATTCCATGTTACAATTTTTTAAGATTCATCTTTTCAGTTAGAACTTTTTCTGATGACATGTTACTAAATACAGTTCATTGTCATTGTTTTCACCCAGTCCATAGTCCATAATATTGATATGCAATCACTGAAGCCATCAGAACTCTATTGAAAGTATTACTTTACGTATAAATATGAAATGCCTTTAAGTACTTAGTGCTGCCTTTTTTTTTTTTTTTTTTAGTAACTTATGAAAGCAAACTTCAAAGTTTGTTCCCAGGTTCGTTTGTAATATAACGTAGAGTCTGTAGAGTTTTAGGATAAGCAGATGCCACAGTACCTGAGCTGCTACCTTAATACAAATTTTACCATATTGATGCTGCTGCTCCCGTTCTTTACGATCTGTGTTAATTGACTGAAGAAAACTTTGTTTTGAGTTGAGAAACACAATTTTTGTGCAAATGTCTGTGAAATTTTATGTAGATGTTTTATGTACATGACTAGAAATAATTTTCATTTATTAACTAGGGTGCTTTTTGAAACTTCTGGCTATGTGACTGAGGTGGTACTTCTCTTAAAAATCAGTAATACAGTTCAGGCTGCTATCTCACTGGTGGTGGCCTGCAACCAATTTATACTGAGAAGAGAGGCTGATAAAATTACAGGAGCAGCACAGTTGGATGTGGTTAGTCCTGTATGGAATCTGCTTCCAGATGGCTTAAGACAGAGTGTGGTAGAAGTCTAAATTGTACTTCCACAGAGGAATGAAGTGTCATCAATCTACACTGTTCTAAGGAATTTTCTAGAGCAATTTATCTCGTAGATTTGGTTCAGTTCTGATGGTCTGCAATTACTTCTACAGTTTTCTTCTAAACTAGTACAGATCCATATTTGGATCCTGAGGATTATACACACATTTAGATAAATATGTTAAAGAACATTATGCCCCCTTAAAGTGTCAACTGGCTCCTCTTTTGAAGTAATGCTTCACTCTTCACTAGCTGCTTTTCAACCTGCATGTTTTTGAAGATTTAAATCTAATTTCTCTGTTTTTTTCTAAGTGTTAGTGTTCACTTCTTGGAAAAACCATTTATGCTTCATTGTTTGCATGAACACTAGCTTTTTCTTTGAACTTTAAATTCTGCATTTGCTTCTTGTTTCATATTTATTGACTTGGGCTATTGTACCTTGTGCTGTTATTGAACCTTAAATCCTGATCACACAGTGTCTCAAGACTGTGTATTCCTGTGATCCTAAGGTAGACAAGATTGACTGATGAAACCGACTTTTATTAGGAAAAAGGATTAGATGACATTTTTGTCTTCCTAGAATTAGTCAACAGTTGCACTAAAAAATTAAACCAGAACAGAAATCAGTATGTTAGTAAATAATCTATATTTGTGACCCTTCTCTCCTGCCACTTTAAACCGTATGTTTTTAGTAAGTGGTTTCTTTTCTCATTTTTAACACCTCTGAAAATCTTTCCTTGAAAAGGCTTGTGCGTGGTTGTTTAGCTACAGCATTGTATGCTTGTTATACATTTCACCTTCTGAATAATATAATAAGGTGAATTTTAGGAGTTTCCCATTTGTTAATAAGCACTGAGGAGCAAAGCAGAAAGGTAAGGGAAAATGAAACATGGGAAAGTTACTTAGTGAAGATGATTATTCTTTTTTTTTCCTTGGGTTTATGCATTTTCCAATCAAAATGTCTGCGTTTAATCCCTACAAAGTAGAATGTTACAGTAGGCAGTGGATTCTGGTGATAGCAAAAAGAGATTCTTGTTTTAACTTCAGTGAGAAAGTTCTTACAAAATTTGTAGGTACTTCTTAAAAAGTTAGTGTTTGTTCTGTTTCTTAGTATGTATTCATGTAAAAAGGACTTATCTTATCATGGTTGTTCTTTTTGGTTGTAGTTTCTGAGGGTATGGAAAGAGACAAAGGGTCTAAGCTTGCTATTTCCACACCAACTCCCTGCTCATATTTTGGTATATACTTCATGACTGAACATAATCTCACTACTTGTACCGTTGTACCGTAGAGCTAATAGACTTCCAGATAAATCGATTTGAGAAATTGCACAAGGTTATTTTAGATGAGAGCAGGATTAGCACCCTTGTTTTAATGATAAGGTAGTTCCTAGTTTGTAACAACCAAAGTTACACAGGGACAGTGTGAATGCGATACAAAACATGCATGCAAGATTTTGTTTCATAGTTTCTTCTCTTATTCCTCCTCTCCTTTTTTCTGTAATGTTGGGGGTGTAGATTGCTTTTATATAGTCCACTTCTTTGCTGCTTTTGAGGAAACCTGTTTTGAGCTATATTAATAATTAGTCTAAGAAGTCAATGGCCAATTGTCTCAATTACTGCTGGACAGACAGATGGAAGAATTTTATCCAGAGGCCAATTAAAAGAGAACTGTTAAAGCAGCTCTGCTAGGTTTGTGTTAGTTTACACTTAATTTGTTCTTTGAGTGGATGTGTATCATCCCTTTACACAGTGCAGGAGTTTGAATGAAGTCTGTTTCATACCAGTTAAAAAACAGAAGCATTCTCTGCATAATCCAGGTCCACCTCCAGAACACACTTTGACAAGTCTTCCCTGACAAGCTCAAGGCAAATACTCTGTCTCTTGAACAAAATGATTTAATTGTGTGTACTTGTTTTGTTGTTTGGGGTTTTTTGTTCTTAATTGGAAGGTATGATTATTTAGAGATGTATGGGGAAAAAAATTACCAGTATTGTGTTGCTTCTATTTGTGGGTTTTAAAGCAAATAATTGACATGCATTATTCTCTGCTGAGATGTTAATTCACACTTAAAAATATTACTTTCATAGTTTAAATGAGAGATACCATAACAGACAATCTGGTCCACAGTGTAAACATTACTAGCAAGATTTTGATCAGTTGGTTCTAATGTGTGGAAAAGATGAGGATTTTTGTGAGGGTGGGCATTAATATTTAAATACTGCTCTGTTTAATTTGAGTAGTAGATCTGTCTTTAAATACTGTTTGCTGCTTTTAAAAATACCCAGCAACTGAGATGTTTCACTGCTTTGACCTCAAAAAGCACAAAGGTTGAGGGTAAGCAACTTGAGAAAAATCCTATGTCTTATCTGTTTTTCTTTCGTACAAAAAAGGATTATTTATTTGCTGTAAAATGATAAACTCTCACAGGGAAAGGAAAAGAACTGTAGTAGAGCTGTAATTTCAGGTTTTCTGTTTCATGGAAAAACCTGACAATTTTGAAAATTGCTAGGAAAAAAAATGCAACCAATTGAAGGTATGAACATTCAGCTCCTAAAAATGAGAAGGAAATTACAGATTATTTTTTTTTCAAGACTGACATGTATCCTGTTGAATTTCAAGAGTTTTAAAAGATGTCACTGCTGTCAGAAAAACAGTTTTTTAAGTCAAGGCAGAATGCTGTGCTGGAAAAAATGTCTACTCAGAAGTTTAAAGCAAAGGTTTGACATACAGGAAGATAAGAATTTGAAAAATCACTGGATGTTCTCTCCTCTTATCCCTCCTGTCTGTAAAATTGTGTGGCTTTATTTCATGTTCATCACAGGATTTGGGGTATTTGTAGCAATATATGTAACTGCACATTCTCTGCAGTTGTTTGTGTAAGCAGTGTATGCCTGTGTTACTTATGCTGTAGGGTAGAGTAGGTGATGTGGTTTGTATGATTCTTAAGGTGCTGTTTCTGCATTGTATGATAAGTAAATGAGTTCATATCAGTGTTCTCAAACTGGACTGTGATACTGTGTAAAGTGCTGGTCCCGTGGATTGTCTTTTAGAGATTTTTCTTGGTTTCTAAAAACCTGGTATTTTACAACACGGGTCGTAGGGCAAAATGTAACATCTTTCCTGAAAAGAGATGTTGCCTGTTCTGTTCTGGAAATATCCTCATTGAAGATTTGGAGATGTTGTGGTTAAAACCTTTGACCTGAATGTACACTCAAACCTTAATTCAGGCATGGAGTTTTGTGCTCATGGGTATAGCATGCAGTGCGCGCTATCTGTATGTTACACAGTGATCATACATGTGCTTTTTTCTTGTCTGCTAGCTTCGTGTGTGTGAAAAGGATGCTAAATGAAGAACTCGTTGTTTTATGTCTAGTCACTGTGCAACAGGGGTTTTAAAATACTTACATCGTTCTAGGTCAGTGACTTAAAACTTGGAATATGCCATAGATTTCTGCCTTGTGTTATCTAAAGGACCCTTATAAGATGACAGAGGGAATAGATTTGTTCCTTGAAGTCATTAAAAAGAAATAATTTGTTCGTGCAGTTTTCTATGTATATGTCTTCGCTTCTCAAAAGAGACTCTAAAATAGCATCTTTTTTTCATTCTTCCTTAATAGAAATCTGGTTAAGAAGTACTGTCCTAAACGTTCACCCAAAGATGAGGAACCCAGGTAAAAATGTGTATTTCAAGTTCTGTGTATAAGAAACAAGGACTATAGTATACTCTGTCCTTTTATGGATTTTTTTTTTCCTTTTTTTTAAGATGAAGTGATGTAATTGGCTAAGACAACAAAAGGAATTGTGCTTGGCTTCTTATAGTTCTGCTGTAATTCTTAAGCATGAAACCTGAGGTTACTTCTATTAGTATTTTAAAGTAGTAAACATGGCAGGTTGTACTTGCTCTGTTCCAGATTAATCTTTAGCTAGCTGGACGTTTGAAAGCAGAAGTTTAGTATGCCATGTACAGTCTAGTAGGTTTGAGTTTTTGTTTGTTTTGTTTTGTTTTTTACAGAAAAGCAATTATATGTCCTTAGGCTGTGTTTTTTGCTTAGTTTAGAGTTTCTCAGTGCATTTGTGTGGTGATACAAATGCAGCTATACATTTGTATGCTGAGACTTGAATGTACACAAAACTGTCGTGTTTTTGGCAAGAAGAGCTCTTAAACTACTGTCTGACTTTGACTCCAGACGCAAAATAAATGAATGTCTAACTGTGGAGGAGCAATGTGTACTAAACAACTTTATGACTATTTATTAGAGAGGTGCTTGTTTTGCTGTCCATGTCCATAGCCATTTTTTAATTTATTTAGAAAAAACACAGTACTTGTCCTTTAGGGATAACTCTTATAAAGGCAAGAAAGCGGGCAAGTTTCAGGTTGCAGCCAGAGCACATTGTGCCAGAGTGCCTGAGAATTCACACTAGGATGTCCTCTAGCTCTTTTGACTATTTAAAGATCCTGGACCACAGGGAATGGGATTTCTAGTGCTAGGGTGGCATTTGAATTCCCCAGAGCCAAGCCTATGGAGATGGCAGTATTCCACAGTTAAAAGAGAGAAAGATGTATATTTTAATGTGGTGCCTGTTTGTTTTTTTTTTTTCTTTCTTCCCTTCCACACACACTTTCTACCCTTTGCCCCTCCTCTTCCCCCCTTTTTAGTGCCAGCCATAGTGGCACCTTACTTCCAGCCAAGAGGTGGGCAGGCAAACAGGCAGCTGTCTCCAGAGCTGATAGCAAACTTGTTCTGTAGATCATCCATCGGGATGCATATGAGTGGTATGATTGGCATGTTCCACCCTCAAGACTACCAAGCACATCATCTCTGCAGCAAGTTCAGCCTCCAAGCCTAGGGACGTATGTATCCGTTCCCAAGCTCAGGCCTCTCAGTTGGCAGCTTAGGAGATACCACTATACTACAGGGCTTTCCAGGTAGTATTCTTCTTCTTTCTTTTCCATCCACAAAAATCCATATTCTTATAAAATGTATTTGAAGAGACATTGCAACATATAGTACATGCTAGGCTTAACGTAGGCTTTCCCAGCTTGCATTTCTACTATAATTCAATGATCATTAAGATAAGGTTTATTGTAAAATATGTATGATTTTTGCTTTTAATTTAATCAGGAGTACAGACTGTACTAAAAGAAGTCCACTTAAAAAAAAACCGTCTCACTTTTTGTATATGTATGTTTGTGTGTGTGTGCTTTCTGTCAGGTTTACTTCGTGTATTGCCTTTTTTAACATCCTTAATGAGTTGAATGACTATGCAGGACAACGAGAAGTAGTTGCAGAAGAAATGGGACACAGAGTGTACGGAGAATTGATGAGATATTCTCATGATCTAAAAACCGAGAGAAAAATGGTAATTTCTGTATTTTGATTTGATAATAGAATATCAAAATGGATGTCTTTTAACAAATTGATTTATTTGTTTGCCAAATTTAATGAACTTGGCAATAAGTAGGTTCTGTAATACATTTACAAAACACATACTTAGAGTTATTCTGTATTTTTATGTACTGGTTTACTACACTTAGTAAACCTAAGAACTGAAATTTTGGGAGACGGTGCTTACTAGTAACTTTTTTGCCGGTGTTATTTTCACTTGGGGTACTGTTCTTATATGATAGTAATGTCTTCCAAAGAGTACTGGTAACTTGTGGGAGATAACTGCACATCATAGTGTGTCAACTAGAGCAGGGACTAATTAATGGTAATAGTACTAAAAAAAATGTAAATTAAACTTATTTGTGGTGGTTTTAGCATCTTCAGGAAGGGCGGAAGGCTCAACAGTATCTGGACATGTGCTGGAAACAGATGGATAATGTGAGTTTGTGTTTTGGTTTTTTTTTTCTGTCCAACTTAATAATATACAGTCTGTAAATGGAACTGTTGTCATCTGTCTTGCTTAGACTTTAATGTTAGCTATGTTTCTGAATGTCCAAATCAGACTTGGTAACATCTGAAGTACAGTTCAATGTATTTGGAGTTCCCTGTTAAAAAAAAAAAAAAATCTGTAAACAGCTTTTGTGTGTGTGTTTGAGTGAAGCCTTGGCTTTTATCCAGCGTAAAGGAATATGTTTTTCACCCAGGTGTAGTTGTCGTTGTTTGCTTCTCCACAGGCTACTTTTTGTTTAGAGAGTAATTAATAATGACAAATTATATTTATATGAAGATGAAATCTTAAGTCATTGTATTTGACTTGAGTTTGAGGGCTTGTTATGTGAGGTCTATTCAAGAATACTGCTATAGACTATTATACTTTCAGGAGGCAGAATTACTTTTTAGCAGAGAAATGCAGGAAGTGAATGTCTCTAGAACAGATTATAAGCTCCTTTTTCTTGAGAGACATGGTTTTAAAGATGAGAAAATATAAAATTCAACCAAGTGTGTTCAAGATGCCTTCTGATATTCTGCTGGCTTTGTGTCTCAGAAATGTATTATATCTTTGATCCAGATTATTGTGAAGCAATACCAGAGAGGTGAATTTCTATTTTGTTGTTGTGGACCCAGATAAGCAATGTCTTGTTTCAGTGTCACGTCAAAGAGTTTAATTTGTGGTCAGAGGATCAGAGTAGAAGCAGATGTGGTAGTTTCAGATGCTGTCACCCTACACCAAGATAATTCCCAGAGTTCACCTCAAACAATCAGTTGTGTTGTGTGCACTGTATTTACTTGAGTGCAAAGTCAGTCTTTTAAATGCGTACAGCCTTTAAGGGATACATTAACCTCAATTGCCTGACTTTGCACTGAAGCAGGAGACCAGGGCTCACGCAGTCTCTGTTGCCAGTTTGTCTTTAGAGATACTAACTTCTTGAGCTGCAACAGTTTTTCCAACAGCAGTTGTCTTGAAACAGCTAGATATATTGAAGATCAAGTATGTGCAATACTGTTGTCTGTGCTGCTTACAGCTACGCCAGTTGATATGAATACTGATGATAATGGATGGATATGCTAAGATCTAGTGATGTAGATAAATCCTTCAGACTGCCTTCAAAATAATTTAGTTGAATTTATTCAGTTAAAATTGATCACTGAAGAAGGGAACTTGAAAACTTTACTCATGCAAGTTCAGGTTTAAGTTTTCTGCCCTCTAACTTTTATTTAGGTTCTTAAAGTCAGGCTAGAAAGTGGACTTGTCTGTTTATAATTAACTGTGGATCTTTGTAATAGGTTATTTTGTATTTTGATTATCTGATATTTTATAGCATAATTACGATTGTTTCCTTGCTGGTACTTCATGGAAATAAGTTTTAAATAGAAAAGTTGACATTTTTTGAGACTTGGTTTCTGTGAGAACAATGTCTTTATTTAAAGGTACATAGTGAATTTAAGATACTTAAATGGAAGCTTTGATATTTAGAATTCAAAATTACTGTACAAAACCAAAAGGGGATAGTGGCTGTTGAAGCAGTAAGTTTGTGGCTTTTGTAGAGCAAAAAGAAATTTGAGAGAGAATGCAGAGAGGCAGAGAAGGCACAGCAAAGCTATGAAAGACTGGACAATGACACTAATGCGACAAAGGCTGATGTTGAGAAGGTAAGAGTGGTGCCATTTCTTTCTTCACTCTATTATAAAAAGTATTTTATTCGCATGTTTATTGTCACTACTGGAACAACATTCTTTGAGTGTACAAAATTGTGTATAAAATATGCTTGTTTATTATGTGCAAAATCAAAGTTACAGTAAAATATAAGACAGCACAGAGAGGGAGTATGCTTCATTAGTCTCGGTCATGCTGTTGAGATGACTATCTTCCTTAAACAGGCAGGCTTATTGGTATTTGGTATCTTGTGGTATATATGTTCAGTCACTTCTATGTTTTTTAGGATATGCATTTAAGTGACATGGCTTAAGGGAGCTAAAATGATCATTGCTCTCTGTATATAACAAATTAGGTCTGTAGACTGTCACTGTACATGAAGTCTCACATTCTTTTTATTTCAATTATAAATAAGGATGCCAGTTTTGATAACTTGTGTTTAGTGTTTTTGCATAGTTGGTAAAATAAATTAAAATAATGCTGTGTGTCGTTGAAAAGCACAAGACATGTTTGAACTGATAACACTTTCCTACTAGGCTAAGCAACAATTAAACCTGCGCACACATATGGCTGATGAAAACAAAAACGAGTATGCTGCACAACTACAGAACTTTAATGGGGAACAGCACAAACACTACTACATTGTCATTCCTCAGATTTATAAGGTAAAATAATTAACAGAGAAAGTATGTCTGATCTTCTTCGAAGGGAGAAGTAGATTTTAAAATTTAAAACTATTTTGGGGATTTTAGTGGATAATTTTATCAAGAAATTAGCATAATCTTGATACAACCTGCATTTTATCATGAGACTTACTGCTTACAGTAATTATGCTTAGACTTGTAATGAAAATATTCTGTTGCATTTTCTATGAAGATTTTATATTTTATAGAGTGTTTAAATATTGCTGAAGAGGTATGGCAAAATAAACATTTGAGGCATCTGGGTGAGAGCAAATATTTAAAACAATCATTCTAATAAGGTTTGATCACTAGTTTTTTTGATATTTGTGTGTGTGTGAGCGAATGCTTTGACTCTAGTAGATGAAGGAAAACATATAGCTAACGGTGACTATATAGTTTAATGTATCTCATGTATAGGTATAAAATGGGTGGATTGAAGGCAGAAATACTCCTTCCTTTCCCCCCTGCCCCCATTTGGTCATTGCTTCATCAATATTGCCTGCAATCCACAGAACTCTGTAAAATGGTAAAAAAAAAAAAAAAAAAGTTAAAGGTCAAATTAGATCAATACTTTGCATCTAAAAAGGGGATTTCTCAAGGTGCTTCATGTAACTATTAAGATACTTTTTAAGATTCTTTCAAAAATAGAGACTTGGCAAAACTATTTTAAAGTAAAGTAGTTGGGGGGGGCCTCAGGTGAGGGAGAGTTCAGAAGTGTATTGGCGTATACGTTGAGCCATTTGGGAGAATACTGTGACTGTAGAAACTGATTCTGAGACATGGAGTCAAGAAATGGAAAGTGAAAATAGTGACTTTATTTGAAGCTGTACCAACTTAAGAGTGCTTGATACTTTCCAGAAGCACAAGGGAGTTCATATTTTTGAAAATTACTTACTAGAAGATCTAGGATTCACAGGAGAAAATTGCCTTGGCTTATTAAAGAATTTTCTAATATTTCAACTATTAAGCAGCACTACAGTAGATCTGATGTAGCATACTGATGGAGGAATTGCAGTCAACTCCCAGGAGAAACAGTTCGATCGTCTTTGTAGCTTGGACCAGAGTTTTGGTTTATTGCCTTTATTTCTCTAGGATTAAAATCTACTATCATTGTATGATGTTAATTAGGTTTTTTTGGAATCTCCAGTAAGAGCAGAAAGGCCTAGTCCTACTTTCTCTTGGGACTACATTTTTATTATTTCCTTGCAAGTATTTGGTAACATTCTGTGGGAAAACCTTGGGAGAGGGGTTTAGTAGCATGGCTAGGTTGTTGCTTTGTTTCAGAGAGGTGAAATTGGATGCTGTTTGAGACATCTGCCTTTGTTAGAGTAGATACAGGAAAGATCCAACTTCTTATCCTGTTTTTGATAACCTATTGATATAGGTACTATTGCTTTTTGTTTTCTTTTGGGTTTTTTTTGCCACTTCTAATTAGGTGAAAGGTCCAGGGCTATTATCTGAATAGTTATTTCTCTTTAATTTGTTCTTTTTGTTGTGCTCCAGTAGACTTTTATTACAAATCTTATATAATGGTATTCTTTTCTTCATTTTCTTGCACACTTCTAAAGGAACTGGTTTGTATTTCAAATCAGAGAGCATGTCTTAACAGCATATAACTTTAATATTTCTAATTCTTCCTAATTTTTTTAATCGTTGGTCTTTATTGGAAAGTGTAAAAATAAAAGCAAGATAGAGATATTTATCACCAGAGAGAAATTATTTGGAACTAGGAGAGAGTGAGGAGATGTATAAACAAGTAAATTTCTTTACTGTAGTTTTCATTTTTGCACGAAACAAGTATTTGAAACTAAATAGGTGGCTGTAGACACTGTCCATGTGCTTTAAAAAAGAATAATGAAAAGGAAGTCCAGTCCTTTACGTAATTTTTAAAAATCAGAAAGTATCAACTCTTCGTAATTAGTGTTCTGGGCATCTTAAGCCTATGTCTGAAAGGACTTGATTTTTTTTAACTTAATAATTAAGTTCTGTTTTGTTAAGCAAATAAAAATAGTGGGAAAGCACAGAAGTTCTGTAGTATACTGTGGTGACCACAGTAACTGCATACATCAGGATCGAGGGAAAAATCTGCAAATAAAAGCTTTATTTTATCTTTGTGCTTGCAGCAACTTCAAGAAATGGATGAAAGAAGGACTATCAAACTTAGTGAATGTTACAAAGGCTTTGCTGACTCTGAGCGCAAGGTTATTCCGATTATCTCCAAGTGTTTAGAAGGGATGATCCTTGCAGCAAAATCAGTTGATGAACATAGAGTAAGTAGAATTGGGTGACTTTTTAAATGTGCATGAGCAATTTAACTGATATGGAAGCTGCGGAGAGGGGACCCTGTACGTTTATCTTTCTGTTGTCAAATATTTGTCTGCTTGAAAAGTGTTGTGACTTCAGTTTTAGCCTAAATGGTCACTTCCACTTTCGGTGGCTGTTCTCCCCCTGTTTTATTGCTTTCTTGTGATCCAAAGATCTTTGACACTTTCTCACTGTATGTGATGTTGGACACATTGTTTTGGTTATCCTGAAATATCCTAGAATACCAACATGGTTGGTATTTTCTCCAGTAGGTAGCATGAAATCATATAAAGTGTGTTGAGTTAACAAAGTATCACTTTATGTCCTGTTTGATTGCAGCTATTGGCGCTTCTTTCTTATTACTTCTACTATGGGTTCTTCCCTATTTATATCTTACTGCATCTAGTTTCTTAGTGTTATCTTCATTTCAGTGCTAATGTTGAAGGATTAGAAAGTGGAGTAGTAGTTTGGCCCTAAAGCATGCCCTGTTTTATGTTTGGAGTATTTGCTGGATTCTGAATAGCAGGGTATGCTTTGATTTACATTCATTGTAAGACTGCTGAGAAAAAAGAACATACAGGTGGTATTCCTCAGGGCTCAGTGTTGGGCCCCATTCTGTTTAATATCTTTATCAATGATTTGGGTGAGGGGATTGAGTGCACCCTCAGCAAGTTTGCAGACGACACCAAGTTGAGAGGCAGGGTCGATCTGCTTGAGGGTAGGGAGGCTCTACAAAGAGATCTGGACAGGCTGGATCGATGGGCTGAGGCCAACTGTATGAAGTTCAACAAGGCCAAGTGCCGGGTCCTGCACTTGGGTCACAGCAACCCCATGCAGCGCTGCAGGCTTGGGGCAGAGTGGCTGGAAAGCTGCCCAGCAGAGAAAGACCTGGGGGTGCTGGTCGACAGCCGGCTGAATATGAGCCAGCAGTGTGCCCAGGTGGCCAAGAAGGCCAATGGCATCCTGGCCTGTATCAGAAATAGCGTGGCCAGCAGGAGCAGGGAGGTGATTGTTCCCCTGTACTCAGCACTGGTGAGGGCGCACCTCGAGTACTGTGTTCAGTTTTGGGCCCCTCACTACAGGAAAGACATTGAGTTGCTGGAGCGTGTCCAGAGGAGGGCAACCAAGCTGGTGAGGGGCCTGGAGCACAAGTCCTGGGAGGAGCGGCTGAGGGAGCTGGGGCTGTTTAGTCTGGAGAAGAGGAGGCTGAGGGGAGACCTTATCACTCTCTACAACTACCTGAAAGGAGGTTGTAGTAAGGTGGGTGCTGGCCTCTTCTGTCAGGTGGCTGGAGGTAGGATGAGAGGAAATGGCCTCAAGTTGCGGCAAGGGAGATTTAGGTTAGATATTAGGAAAAATTTCTTTACCAGGAGGGTTGTCAGACATTGGAATAGGCTGCCCAGGGAAGTGGTTGAGTCACCATCCCTGGAGGTATTCAAAAAGCGCATAGACAGGGTACTCCAGAACATGGTTTAGTGGGCATGGATGGTGGTTGGACTCAATGATCTTGAAGGTCTTTTCCAACCTAAATGATTCTATGATTCTATTATCTTAACTCGATCTATGCAAAAGCATGCACTTTGAGCTTGCTCTCACTTTCCTATCTGTGCATCTCTGCAATTAAAGGGAAAATTTATGTCTCCATGTATTTCTTTCTCTGGTTCTTCATGGGTTTGCTTGTTTTGCTTTTTAAACTCCTTAATGTACTATGTTTAGGACTCTCAGCTAGTGATAGACTGCTTCAAATCCGGTTTTGAACCTCCTGGAGATTTTCCATTTGAAGATTACAGTCAGAATATTTACAGAACTATCTCCGATGGAACCATCAGTACACCAAAGCAGGAAGGAATGAGAATTGACTCAAAAACTACAGTGGGCAAGGCTAAAGGAAAGCTGTGGCTATTTGGAAAGAAGCCAAAGGTAACAATTAAGAAATTACTATTTGGAAAATCAAAATGTGAAGATCTAGAGTGCATGGAAGCAGCAATTTATTTATTTTAAAATAACCTTCCCCCTTGCCTGCCACTGTCTTTTAAAATATGTGTAAGGAGATCTGAAGGTTTGAAAAGGGTTGGATACTTATCATATTAAAAATAGGGTCCTCACTGGGGGAAGTTTTTTCTAGTGATTTGTGCCTGGGAATGTTTTTCATAGTTATTTGATGAAAGTAGCTTCACATTTCTGTAACATTTCTAAGTTTCCGTAAAGACTTTCTGCAATTGCATAGAAAAGGTGTTATGAATGTAAAACTAAGGGGAGGAGGAGTATGCTTTGGAATTGGGTAGACTTCAGATCTCCTCTTTTATACTACAAAAACCAACTCCTTTCTAAATGTCACATTTTTTAGATGTTTATATATAGGCATGTTATATAGATTTTTTTTTATTATACCTGCTGCTAGTTTTGAAAACTTCTGAGGTTTGTCTGAAAACATTAACATTTATAATACCTCATTAATAAAACATACTGTTGAAGCTCCATATAGGCAAATGTCCCAGAAGAAATATTACTATGAAATAGGTAAAAATATTCCTATGCTCAAGAAAAAATTGAAAGCAGGGAAATTACTCCTTTCTTGTATTATTATATGAGTTTCAATTAACACTTTCTGTGCAAGATGCCTTCATGGATCAACAAAAAATATTATCAATACATGCATTAGCTATATAAATGAATAATGAAGCATATACATATTTAAATTTTATGCTAGGTCTTTATTTAGTATTGGAGCATATCAGTGAGTCATTTTAATGATTCCCACAAGTTTCTCTGAGGTTATTTTAATGCTCCAAGTCAGTTTCTGCCATTTATTATAGTAAACTATTCTTAGACCTTGTTAGTGATAGGATTTATTTTCCACTTGATAGTATTCCAGGAAAGCAGATATTTACAGAAAGAAAGGATATAGCTGATTCTTTATTCCCTCCTCAGTACATTATGTAACTGCAGCTGTGTGTTAAAATGAAAACTGATTGTTTACTTTTCATGCAGTATAATTAATGATTGATAATAGTTTAAATGCATTAATGTATTAGCATATTTATTGCATTTGGCTGCAGAGGTGGGTGAGATTCAGCCTGTTCTGAAATCAGATCGTGATTACTAGTTTGACAACAAGATGTCTTTCTGAGAATTGTGGAGAGGGAAGCTATGAAAATCTGCACTGCTTTTCAATCTGGCCCTTGGCATTTACTGTAGTTGTAAGAAATTCCTTAGTATGATGGCAGCTGAAGAAAGGTGACAGGACTTGCCCTACTCACCCCCAGTTCGTTCACTTTGTATGTAGCATTCAGAGTGTCAGCCTTACTGTTTCCTGTATGGAATCACAGATACACATATGTGTATACATACTACACATGCATCTCTTCCTTAAGGACCTGGAGGAAATGGATAATTATGTCCCCCTTTTTCACCTGTTTTTGGGGAGGAGGGAGGGGCAGCTCTACAAAACAGCAGTGGGGAGCAAAATACTTATCAGGAGATACATATTTAATTCCAAATACTATTTACAGGTTTTAAAATATATTATTAAATTAGATAATAAAAAAATATGCTGATTTCTTGTAGCTGGGGTATTCATGGTGGCCTTTGTGCCTTCATTTAGCTGAAACTGTGGCTGGTCTTGACTTCCAGATATGCATTTACCTATTTTTGATGTTGTCAAAGACATAAAAGTCTTTTTGGAAAGGGAATCAGTTGTGCAGCAGAGGAAATAGTACAGAAAAATCGAACTGGGAAGAAGCAGCAGAGGTATGAGATGCAAAAAATGAGAAGCAATTTGAAAAAAGGGGAGGAAGAAAGTGGAGGAAGTTCTCATGATATTGATTTAAGAACGCCATGCAGCCATTGTGTCAGTCCAGCTTGACTACAGAGATTGAGTATACTTCTTGTTTTAGTCATTCTCCAGAGATGTACCTAATATTTCTATTTTAGCTTAGCTGGTAGGGTACATCAAAATATAGGAAGAAAGAGCGAGGACGAATGCACAAGCTTCCAGGATGGATGTAACTAAAGTTGGGACAAGCAGAACTTCCTGTTTCTTAAGAAAAGAGACAGGCAACTTTGGGATCTTGTGGAAGTGTTGAGTCTGAAGCCTTTTTGAATATTCCTTCATTCTCTGCACCAACCTGTGACTCTGAAGATTAGTTCATGACAGAAACCTTTTAAAACCAATACAGTTATAGTGTAAATGTGTCTGGAATGTTACAAGCTGTTTCTATGTTGGATGGAAATTTTATTTTTGTAAGACAGAATTTTCATTTTAAAATCACTTTGAACATTTGGCTTATTTATTGCTTTCTTTATTTCCACATTAGCCACAATCCCCACCCCTAACCCCTACTAGTTTATACACAACCAGTACTCCTAATGGGTCCCAGTATCCCATATTCTCCATTGAACCAGTGCATTATTGCATGAGTGACATAAAAACAGGGAAGCCCAGAATTCCTTCTTTCAGAAGCCTCAAAAGAGGGGTAAGTTTGATAACAAGTTGAAATGCATGATGGGCTGTGAACAGTGTGTTTGTGATGTGGCTTTTCTAATGCTCTTCACCCTCATTATAAGGCTAACTTTGTTTAAAGTAACACTTCAGCTATAAGGTCACTTTTAGGATACTTTGTTTCATATTATACAGAAGTTACCAACAGGTTAAAAATAAAATAAAATAGAAGTACTCTTTATCGCATTCCAAATATTTGTGTCTAAAAGAAAGGTGTTATAAAGAGGGTGCTCAGCATGTGTTTGATACCTTTCTTCATTGTTGTTCACATTCACAGATGTTTTCCTACCATCATGTAACATACTTTTGCAGTAATTTATCATTGGGTATATAGTCACCACAAAAAACATCTGACAGATCAGATGTCTTATTTGCTGACTTTTAATTGAAATAATAGTTGATTACAAGACGCTGAACTAAGAAGGAAGAAATTTCATTTCTTTCATACATCAAATGCTATAGCACATGATGCTTGCAGATTTTGAAATACTGATTTTTGAACCATTACAATTTCAGTGCATTTTCTGACTAATTGTTCTTGTTCGTCCAGGGTTCTTCTGGGTAAAATTATTGGGAAATTTACTACCAAATGCCACCTTCTGAGATTTATCAATTCAACTACTGATTTACAGTGGCATATTCTGCAAATAGAATTCGTTTGGAAGATGATAAAAGGGAAATGTTAAGTGGTTTCCTAGCAACATTTATAGTACTAGTGATAAATGTACTGGCACCGTCCTGTTGTGAAAGCATAAGCTGCCCAGTTTATGTATGTTTTATGATATTTATTGATCCAAATAATGAGATAATTGGATGCAATTGATTATATATAATTCATGATTTTCTGATATTTGAAAACAATATTGATTTGCCATCTCATGTGCATCAAGAATGGTTGACTACTGTTGACATAATGTGGAGATCAAAGTAGAACAATGTCACAGTGCAGTAAAGTTATGATTTAGAGGCTCCCTTGCTGTCATTCTGACATGCAATGAGTTACACTTGAAACTTATTTTCTTTATCTTTAAGTCATGTTATGGCACCTTATTTCAGGCCCCCAGATATCTTGGAAGTACCCTTTCTACCACCACCACCATTTAGAAAATTCTTGTGGTCCTCTAAGTATTCATGGAGGACAGTTTCTCCTTTCACCTTCGGGAGTCACTTACAGTTTGTTCTGGTCATGAAGATAATGTTCTGTCTTTAGTACTCAGTGAGGAACTAGCTGGATTAGATAGTTGTTGAGATGGCACAGGTCTTGATTACATCTCCTTTTTGTTGATCACTAAATGTATTGACTCCTGGCTCACAAATCAACACCTTGTAATATCATTAGTTCTAGAACCCCTTACTGAAGCAAAAGATTATCTAACAATTACAGAATGCTAATGGAAAATGAAAGCATATTTTTATTTAATTTTTTTATTCTTACAATTCATTGTTCATGTTGTAAAAGTGAATTAATTTAATACAGAATAGTATTCCGTAAAATTGGCAAGGATCACTAGTATCCCACAATATTAAAGAGTTAATCTCCGTAAACCTTCAGGATGAACATTTAATTTTTATATATTTTGAAATTCCTTGCAAGCATTTTAACAGACATCACATTATCATATATTGAGTGCCTTTTCAACTTAAATGTATACTGTAATTCTAATAGATTTTTTTTATCTCATTGATCAGTCTTATCTTTATAATGTATCTTGATTTAGGGCTTAACAGTTGCTAGCACATGATGCTGTTTTCCACAGTTTTGTCCCTGGAAAATGATGTCCAAGTGGTATTGACATGCAGAACTACCAAATGGTATTTAATTTGCTTCTGCTTCTACTGAGATTTATCCCTGAGTTGGCATATATCGGACAGTAAGTGTACTGGTTATGTTGTTTAATGTGCCCTGTACAAGATTTCACTCAAGACACTGGAGATCACAAAACCATACTGCCCTCATTCTGCGCTTCACGCATTAGGTTTTCTTATTGTGATGTATAGTGACAGCAGCAAACAGTAGCTGTAGAACAGGTTATTGGAAAAAAAGTCTTCAAGTCTAAGCAGGCGTAACTTGCTTTATTAGTACTGCTATTACATGCTGCTTATTATCCTTGGAAATCTTAACATTTCCAGATAGTGATAGTGCTTATGAGAGGTCTTTGCTCCATGCCACTTGATACATAAACAGATGCATCATCCACAGTGATATGTAAACCTTAGTTGTATTTTCTTGGAAGACTCTAAAGGGAAGAAGACGTTTATTCTATGGCCATTTTACATCTTTGGACTTTTTTGAGGCTTCTACCAAAGTATCATCATTTGTGAAGGTGCTTTACTTTCCTCATTGCTAGAAATTCTAATTTTGTGTGTGTGCCCCAATAAACAGCCTTAACAATTGCTGAAGGTCATAAATGATGTCAGAGGTATCTATCTTCTGAGTTCCTTGGTGTTTCTCTGGAAAGGGTTATCCAAAGTCATTGCAAGCATGGTAGATCTTCAAAATGTTGTGAATGTTAAACCCAAGACACAATACCTGACATCCCATGTTTCATTTGCTTACTCTAAGGATAAATTCTTTAAATGTCTTTATTTTTATCTGGACTAAAACATTTCTAGGATAGCAGCAATCACCCAAATGCTGTTTTCAGAAAGTAAAATTGCTAACTTCTAAACTTGAAAAAGATCTTTGTTTATTTTGGTTCTACTGTGGTAGCAAAGTAAATACATTGTAAAAATTAAGTTTGTAAAAGTGATGGTAGTGGATTTTTAGCTATAATGAACAAATGATTTGCATATGGCTGACCAGTCCTTCATCATCATCAAATTCTGCTATTTTGTGCAATGTTGGCTGTGTGTTTGTTTCTTCTTCTACAATAGAAGTTCTTTAGCAATTACTCAAAACACTAAAATTCAAAAGTAGTTTAATGAAGTTGTGTATTAGAATTTCATAAGTAAATCGGTAATTCTTAAAGCAGAAGTGCATTTCTGATTATTGTATTTTGCTTTTCTTGTGCTCATAGTAAAATGTATTTTTTAGAAATTAAAATTTTAATCCTTTGGTAATATTTTAAAGATACATTGTTAGGCATTAATCATTTTCATAACTGGTCGTTGCATGTGAATAATTTCCCGTTTCTTTCTGTTTTCAAATGAACTGTGCAGTGGTCGGTGAAGATGGTAAGCCCGTGTGCTGATCTGTCTGCTGTACTTCTGCTAAGATAGCATGAAAGTAATCTTTTGAAAGTGTTTTCATATCATAACTGCTTTAAGTCAGATGCTGAAATACATCCAGATTTTCAACTCATATACACAGTCTTCTTAATCATCCATGCTTAATGTAAGATAATTAGACTTGTGATCTGGCTGCAACTAAATCTGTGGGTTTGGAATTTTAGGGTTGACCAGTATTCACGAGTTGGTCATGATGGAAATACTGGGTGATTTCCCTTTGTCAGGAAAATTGTTAAAGCAGCATAAAATGGGTACATGAAAAGACTACAAAACTTGTGTAAAGGAGAAATACTGAATGCTGCAAAATTCACTCCTTTGAATTTAACCAAAAAATTACAGGGGAGAGGATCCTTTATGCTTAGGAATATTAGAAAGCTGTTACATGAAATAAAAACCACACCTTGATGAATATTGTTGTTTTGTAGTGTAAATCAGTAAAAATTCACAAAAAGACTTCTGTTGTTCTGATTATTGCTGTAGGATACTCTGGTTTTAACTGACCTGTAAGGAAGAATGATACAGGGGATGTGATTGTCTTTTTGTTTCTCTGTAGTGTGTAAAAGCACCTGTGAGGATTTTAATTATTTTTTTGCCTCCAGAAAGAAAACACTTCTGCTTTATTTTGGAAACATATCTTGGTTTCCCTCTTTTTATGGTGTCTTGTATTCCCTTCTTAAAAAGCAATGAGATGATGATTTTACAAGTGCAAAAGAACCAAGAAGTTGAGGGGCAAGAAGATCCTAAGAAGGGGTTATTAGAAACTTGGCACCTGAGCCTAAGGCTGCTTGTGTCAAAATCTTGACAGTCTTGTTTCTTCTTGACAAAAGAAATGCTGTCCAGTTCGGTCTGCCTCCATGGAGGGTTACTGTAATGGCAAGTGGCTTTCTTGTGCTAAAGCGAACTTTCTTAGGCAACTAGGACATAAATAATGTAACTTAACTTTCTGTTATTAAGACATGTACCTTAACACTGTCAGTGTCTGTCACCCTGAGGGGAAGAGTTTTCACAACAAACTCATAAGATACATAAAAATCTCTTCCCATGCTTTTCACACCCAAGTCCTTCCATCCTGTTTATTATTTTGGCACAAGTTTGCAATCAAGCTTTTGCAGGTTTGGGCTCATAACAATAGGTGGTCCTAAGGTTTTGGGGTTAAAAAAAAAAAAAATTTAAAAAAGCTTAGAAAGTAAGAGGCTTTTTCCCTCCCTGAAAAAATATTTTTTATGATGAAAAGGTAACTTGGAATATTTGAGCAAGTTTTGATTCAGACTAACAAATTTCAGTCAAAATTTTGATGTTATAAAGGCTTTTTCTGTGCTCTATGAACTAGTTTTCCTTGAGGTAAAATGCCTCAGAACTTTGTAAGTTTTAATATGTTTTCTAGCAAGATTGCTGAACTTCCAGAAGAAAACTATAATACTACTTAGGAATGAAGATCCAAAATACAGTATTTTTCTTTCAATAGCATACAAATCACCGTAGAACACAGGCTCCAGAGAAAGAATCAATCATATGTGTATAATTATTATTAACACATCTTAGATTTTTGTTCTGACTGAAATTACTCTGTAGTAATTAATTCTGTCCTTTCTAAATCTGCTTTAAGTGCAGTGGATGTAATAGGAGGTACATGGCTCAGCTTTTCAGAAAAATAGTTAAGTCTACAAATTTTGAATTACATCTATGAGCCAACGGTTACAGAAGGCAGAAAGAACATCCAATGAATGACTATGATCTGGCAGCAAGAACGTGCATTTATTCTGTTGCGGTCTTTTATAGAGCTGTGTGTCAAGTAGAGTTTTTAAGAAGGCCCATCCTGCTTCCAGTGAACACTGTCCGTGTGTGGGTATGTCAGTTCAGCTGTCCAGATACGTGCGTGTTACTTGTTTAATAGTATTTCTACTTGCAGGGCCCTGCACTAGAAGACTTCAGCCATCTCCCTCCAGAACAAAGACGCAAGAAACTGCAACAGAGAATCGATGAACTTAACAGAGAACTACAGAAGGAAACAGACCAAAAGTGAATGCATTTTTTGGAGTTTTTGTCATGGTTTTCTCTACATCTGTTTCTTTTGAAGTCCTCTACCTAAGTCAACAGTGCTCAGAAGCTAGGAGACAATATACTAGTCCAGGCTATTACAAAGCATTTTCTTCAGTTCATGGTTTATTGTATGTAGGTTCTGTTAGCATTGCTTCCTTCTGCTTTACTATAATACACATTTTGATCCTAATGTTGCAATAGGAAACATTAGATCTAAAAGCATGCGTTAAAAAAAAAAAAAAATTATCAGTGTGTAGGTCTGTTGAGCAAGAGAGCTGTAACTTAGTGCATTAAGAACAGAACGTTATTAATATATAGGAAATTATGTATAACAAAACAATATGGGAAACAGTATTTAGACTGGATAGAGAAGAATCCACAGTTGGGAGTCCTTGTGTGCCTGTGCACAACACAAGGAAGGCAGGCAAAGTGCTAAGATGATAGAATGGGAAAAGGATTTAGGTGTGATGTGGGGAGCAGCAGTTCCTCATGTCTGCTTAGTATCTAATCATAGGTCAGGATCTCATACATGTAAACATTATTTTAGCTTCAATGAATCAGTACTGATGTATGTAATTTTTACAAATATTGTTGGGGTTTGTATGTTTTTAGAGATGCCCTCATCAAGATGAAGGATGTTTATGAAAAAAATCCCCAGATGGGTGATCCAGGCAGTTTGCAACCAAAATTAACTGAGACGATGAGCAACATGGACCGTCTTCGGATGGAAATACACAAGAATGAGGTTAGACTCTCAAACAATTCCTTAGAAAATGTAAATGACTGGTAAAATTGTAGTTTGCCTTATGGGTTATAAACAGAGCACCCAGAAAAACTATTAATCTTGATTTAAGAAAGCGTTCCTGATGCAATTTTTTGTGGGGTACCGTATTTTTAAGTACGTTCATCTAGTTAGAATAAGGATGTACGTTATTCAAATTGCAAGCTGTTTAGAAGAATTTCTTATTAATCACTTACTCTGAAATTCATATGTGATTAAAGATTATTTTTTTTCCTTAAGACTAGTATGGAAGGGATAGGTTCACGCTTCATGTAAAGTACTTAAAAGACTTGACATGTGAATGTAGTCTCTATGTGGCTGTGTACTGACAAGTAAACTGTATGCAGTAAAGTGCATTTGTTAAATGGTATTTGCTGGTTCAGAATCAAGTTTTCTTTGACACCAGTATGTCTTTTTTTCCCCAAGGCCTGGCTCTCTGAAGTTGAAGGTAAAGTAGCAGCCAGAAGCGACAGGCGGCACAGCAGTGATATCAACCACCTTGTAACACAGGGCAGAGAGAGGTCACTATTCTATCTCTACCGCTTCTACCGCTTTTATGTCTTACGCTAGAATCAGTACATCTCTTTGATAGTTAACAGTAGGTGATGGTTGTTACTTATCCTCTGAAAGTTCATGTCCTTCTAAAGGAAAAGCTTACTGGTTCTGAATTCTACAGGTCACTTCATGTCATTATGGTAACATAAAAAAATAGTGAGTCTAATCGAAACACCCGCTCATTAACTAGCAGTGTGTTTTAAAGCTATCTTACTCCATTGCATAAGGCTTACCTGATTTCCATGTTCTGTAGAGACAGGTATGTCAAATTTATGTTTGGTTTTGTAGCAGAATTCAGTCCAAGCCTTGTTCAGATTGGTATTTTCAGAAAATCACCTCCAGCAGTAAATACAAAAACTGCTAACAGGCATTCCCAGAGCACTATCCATGGTCTGCCCTTTCTGTGATGCACGTATGTTCTGAGTTTTAGAGCTAAGAACTCTGTTCAGAGTCCTGACACTCCAATCACTGCATTATAGCCCTGAAGGGAGTTACACGGATGATGCAAATCAGGAAGTTCGAGGCCCACCGCAGCAACATGCACATCCGAATGAATTTGATGATGAGTTTGAAGATGATGATCCATTACCCGCTATAGGACATTGCAAGGCAATATATCCATTTGATGGTAAGGTTAACAACATGCACTATAATTCCTTGACTATAAGGCACGGATTATTTGTTATAGAGAAGACAAGTAAAATGATGTAAAGTAAATGAACTGTATGAGCAACCAGTTGCTTATAAGATCAGTAGAAATATTTTATAAATCACTTTAATTCACGAGCAGTACTTTTGTGCTGTTTTAAGATAAATAGTAACACAGCTATTGGCAAATATTCAGCTTCACAAATTGGACTAGGTTTTTGTCTGTAAGCCTGTGTGAACATATGTTCTCTTGCACAGATTTTTGGTTCTTCCTGTTTATATATAATCTGGAAACTATGCCCTGGGAGAATGGTGACTTCAAATTCTGTCTGAACACTGAGACTTCTTTGCCTCTTGTTTTTCCCAGGTCATAATGAAGGCACTCTAGCAATGAAAGAGGGGGAAATTTTGTACATTATTGAGGAGGACAAAGGAGATGGGTGGACAAGAGCTCGAAGACATAATGGAGAGGAAGGCTATGTGCCAACATCATATATAGATGTAACGCTAGAGAAAAACAGCAAAGGTGCAGTAACCTATATCTAACAGTAAACTGGCAGCTTTCAGTTGTGCATTCCCCAGGGAGAATAGTGGAAAAATAGTAAGTTGCACAGGTTGATGGAAAGCATTAGAGTTTCAGAAGTCGTTTGCAGTGTGAGTTTGCTATAATTTTTTTCAGAGATGACCACATTAAATTATGCATCTTACATGGGTCTGTAATTTTGACCAATGTCTTCTGCTTTAACTGGTCATAGTGTTCCTGCTTTACAAAGCACTAAATCCACTTCAGCTATTAAACTGAAAAAGACCAGGCTTCCTGCTTGTTCTACACAATACTTTGTTTTTATAGAGAACTGAAAAATTACGTAGGTTTTAAAGATCTCTAAGATTTACTGTTCCCAGTTTTTATGACTTAAACTATATGCTTAAACAGAGGGTTTCTTCCTCTAATAGCTAACTGAACTCACTTACTAAAAATTATTAATTTCCTTCCTTAGCAAATGCTTGGCAGGTTTCACTTCTTAAACAGGAAAATGTTTTCTGATTCTGAAAGCTCAACAAAAATACTCAGGAAAAAACATTACAATTAGGAAGGACAGAAAGTCCACTGACCTGCCTCTCTCCTTCCTTTTCAGTACTTGTAATGTAGAATATTGTGTATTGGACACAACATCATTGTTTTAACTCTAGATACCTTGAACAACAACAAAAAAAAGAGACCACATGTAATGCTTGATGTCTCACTGAAACCTCTCTCCGCTCCTGAAAAGGGAATGATTTTATATTCTTAATCTGCGCCTGTAAGCTAAGTCTTTGAATTGCATGATGTTCAGTGTGAAATCAAGGTCTTAAATGTGCAGTAATTCCCCTCGCTGTTAAATCACCGAGGATTGGAAACTGCATTGCACTACTTGATTACTAGGTAGGGGAGGGGGGGAAAGCTAATCTAAAAGCTGTGGCTCGTATTTCTAATGAGACTTTGTGGAATTAAGTATAAGGCTAATGCATAGCCACTGAGAATGGCCTGTTAGAACTGAGCACGCTTCTCTGTCTTCTAAAGGCCTTCAGTAACTTTGTTCTTTTCTTTTTCCTCTTGGACTGCAGGTTCCTGAAGCGGGTTTCTGAGAAAATGGGCGAGATCTTGAAGGAGGTTACATGCAGCTGCTGGGGTGGGGGGGGTACTAGACTGGGAGGCCCAAGGGGAAAAGCTAGTTGCATGAATGCATGCAGACATACATTTAGTCACTAACATCTTAGCATCTCCATACATAGGTAAGGATGTATTACAAATTCTTCAATTTGTGCAGGAAAATAGAGTTCCATTACCAGAGTAAAAAGGCTACTGCTCCTACAGTTGCTTTATTTTCATTGTCCTAGGTTGTCCCAGATGCACAAACTATATTTTAGCTTGTGCTATGTTTTGGTTATCTCAGTTATGCTCTTTTCCAACTCATTTTAATTGGCAGTCATTTAGAACCAAATGCCAGTTACCAGTCTGCCTGTGCCACCTCCATGCTCGCCGTTAACCTCCTCCTGCATGCCTAGGACAGTCAGGCATGTCTGCATAACACCTTGCTGTCATTGCTTGTCTTATTTTGTAACAAATCATTTTCTTTAAATATCTTCAGCCCTAGAGTTTCATCCCAGTATCCATGTATGCTGCTATAACTATACCACTGCAACCATCATTACATTCCAGTTTTTGGCATAACTGATAAGAGACCGTAATGTATTTGTGTTGATTTGGGGAAATAATAATACATCTTGGCTCTAGCCTACAATGCAACCGAGAGAAACTCCTAGAACTGTGGTCCACCTTCAGCACTTCAGTAACCCGTTGTGAGCACTGAAAACCTGGAACACCACCAGAGAGATTCACCACTGCAAGCTAATGACTGTTTTCAGAAGTCAACCACTTGCCATTCAAATGCTGCCTTAAACTAGAGTGCCTAAATCTGTTGTTTGCCAACACTACCACTTACAGTATCCCACAAAGGGCTTTGTGTCTCAGCTCTTTTCACAGTGCTGCAGCTGCTGAGGTAGCCACGGTAGGTGTTTTCTAGAGCTCTACTTTACTGGATACATGGTGCATCATGAATTTTATACATTGAAACGCATATCTCCTCATTTAACTTTAATATTTTTTTAAAATATTTTTATGGAAACTGTCTTTTAGTTTTCACTATGAAGTTTCAATTTTAATTACTGCAGTGCTAGTCCATTTCCAGGTGATGCTTCATTGTACGGACCAGTTGAAATTTGTGTGATACTTCGTAATGATCTATGTGCACTTTTACTTGTAAACAATTGAAATTTGGATATGTTTATACGTGTAAATATAGTTGTCTGCAGTGCCCCTATAGCTTATGTTGTCTTGCCTCCCATTTGTGGTTCTATTAATAAATACATAATATCTGATTTATTAGGGTGATAAGAATTAGACTAGAGATGTGGGGGGGAGGGATACTTGTATCAAAGCAACCTTGTCAACCCAGCCACCTGCTGTTTTGGGAAATGAAATAATAATCAAAACATCCTTTTTTTCTGGGGTCTGAAGCAATATTTGGATGCAGCAGTGCTGGATTCTTTTTAATTTCAGTGTTATTAGGAACTGTACTACCAGTAAAACTGAATTTGAGTGACTTGTGTAGAGGTTTATTCCTTTTGTTATGTACACCACTATTACACAGCTTGACCTAGTGTATTATGGGGGCTATTAAACTCTAAAGTTTAGATTTTTGGAGCTTGTATACAGGGTTATTTATATAATAATGTGACATTACTCAATACTGACAAAACTACTTAGGTAGTTTTTTGGGTTTGGGGGTTTGTTGGTATTTTGGGGTTTTTTGTTTTCTTATTTTTTTAATTTAGTGCTTTTTTATTTTAAAGTTAGAGAAAAGGAGGAAATGTGATCTGTGTATTTCTGCTAAAGGGCCTGTGGTTTGCCTGGCTAACAGCCTTGCAGGTCAGTAATAACACTTCCTGGTAAAGGACTAAATGTTCTTTTCATGCTACTGTTTGTTTTTCTAAAACCAGGATTTGCTTCCTTTGGAGGCAGGTTGCTTTCATGAGGGATAGTGCAACTTGTATGAGGGTTATTAAACATAGGAAAAAAACATTTGTACTTGCACAGCTAGTTATAAATCATTCTAAAATTCTGAACGTGAGTTGTCTTAAAGAATCTTACATTTTCCAGTAATTTTTAATCCTTTTCTGTGCACACGTTGATTTCCTAAATGTTAAATGCTTTGTTTAAAAATAGTGTTCTCTGTTGAGAATATTTTCATGGAATAAAAAAATCTTTTCATGGTCTAAGTAATTAGCTTCCCTGTTTGTTTTCTGTTAGGAGGGACAGGGAGACTTTCAGCATGAGGTCTGTAACCTCTTGTTATGGTGGTAGAACCTCTGCTGTGATTGTAGATGGGGGAACAGATGACGCCATTTTGGTGTTGGTTGTGTTGTTAGCCTACTTGGATACTTTCAAATGCTGTAACATCTCACTCCAGAGATAGGCTTAGAGACAACAAGCACATGCAGCTCTAACCATAGTTCTTGCTTAAATATTTATACAACTTCTGAGGATAATGCTTATACACCAATTCTATTTGTGACAAAGTGGAATGTGCTGCTAAAGCACTCTTTATATAAACACAGTGTATGCTGATTTCCTATGAAAAGTGCTAACAGCTTATGCTTTGCCTTCATCCAAGGAAAAAAAAAATACTACTTACCCAAGTGATTCACCTCAGTAAATGAAGCAAGTTTAATATATACATACACCCACATTTACTCATATCTGAAAGCATTTTAATTATCTGGATTGTTTGTTCTTGCAATCTCATTATTCATTCCTGGCAGCGTAGCTGTTGTGCAGGCTCCAGCAAAAGCCAAAAAGTACTACAGATGCTGTCTTAAAAAGTAAGATGTCCCAACACATACACAATTAATTTTCTACTTTCAAAGGTACAGTGATACTTGAGCCTTCTGTTGTGGTCACAGATAAAGGATCATTTCTGCAACCTGCAAATATGCAAATTATTTTGCATAAAGATACACTTTAATTCACAATTCTATGTACAGTGTTTTATATTCATTAAAGGAATATTACACAACAGATTTTCTGCAAAGTCACATACTTATCTATCATTTTATTTACACTATTTGCTTCATTTTAATATTAAGATGCCAATGCCCTTACTCTGAGGCATTATCAAAACATTGCAACTCTGGGGAAATACAGAAAGCTGTAAGACTATCTTACAGGGATAACCTAACTGTTTAAAAGGATCATTAAATGACTTGGTGACACAGTAAATAAATAATTTGTTTAGAAATCAGTAGTTTTAAAACAAGTGTGCATTGTGCAGTTAAATTCTAAACATGTTGTAAAATGCAAGAAGTTTGTGCAGTATCAAATCACCAAAAGAAAACTAAGGTTATTTCAAGTATATCATTTAAATAGTGGTTACAGAGTCTTATACACTTAATTGTTCCACCTGCTTCACTGGAGGAGGTTCCAGTTTTCGGGAAAGTGCAGTTAAAATCTGGCTGAATTTCTCGTATCTTTCATTTTGATTAACTTGTGCTCCTTTGCTGCCCCAGAGCAATCTCATTTGAAATTCTGTCTTGAAGATTTCACTCATCTCTTCATCAGGCTGGAAACCTAGTAAGTAAAAAGAATCCCACAATATCGCCATCAGGCAAGTTTTTTATTCAGAAGAAATGGCCTTTAAACTGTATTCCCTCCTAATAAGATAAGCTTTAGTGTGCTGGTTCCTTTTGCACAATGATTTTAACAAGCTAGTAAAACAGTGAAAATCCTTTCCATCTGTTACATTCCAGTAGCACACAAATGGCTCTAGGGACACGCTATCCTTTTTGCTCAATTCTAATGGTCTAGAATTGTCATTATAGCCTAATCTCAAATATAATTACTGATGTATACATGCTGCCTGCAGAAATACTTAAATTTCTCTCCCCTCAACTTTTTTTACTGCAAGTTTAAAACACTAAGTCACATTATAATATGTTGCTGCTTTCTGGCTGTGAGCAGTCAAGTGTTGCATCTTGCACTGCTGTAAAGAATCCTATTACGACAGATGGTGTTTTATTCACAAAAATCAGAGTAGGAATTTCAAATTGTACAGAAGACAGGAAGTTATCCTTGGTCCTTACTGTACTTCTGTTCAGTTGACTATGAGTATGCTTAGCAAAAATGTACACTCTATTGCTTACTGGAGAACTACAGCGATGAATAATTTACTGTCTGCTTTTAAACAATATTGATCTTGTCCTCAGCCTGAGTTTCCTGCAGGACATTTGCTACTATCTCAGCTCCCAGGAAAGAGGAGAAGAGTTTCTTGCACTGACTTTTAGTGGCACTTAGGGAGAGACCTTATTCTTCAGATGTAACCCACACATTCTATTAATATGCAGCAGTTTCTCCTACTAGTGCTCCCTACCTTCCAGCATCTGTTCTGCAGTCAAGCTGTACATTTCTGCATTCTGTGCTATCTCACGAGCTGTGGCCAAGTGCTTCAGCATTATTTCGCAGCTTTGGTCACTGCTTTCCCACAGGTCCATGCCTTCAAAAACAACAGCTTGTCGCTCCATCAAGGTAATGAGAGGCATCAGCAGTGGCACTGTTACGTTGTTCTGTGGAGCACTGACAGTCTCTGGGATAGAGTAACAAACAAATCGTATCATCAGACATTATAAAACCTGCTAATTGAAGAAGGTATTGTAACTGCAGTATTCTTTTCAAAGTCAACTACTCTTTGTCTTCCATCTTTCAAGTTAACACCTTACCTCAGATACGCCGCTCCTACCAGTTCCCAGTGAACTGACTGGGGGAGAAGGCCAAGACAAATTAGCATTGGAAGACTGAATTTGCTATGGGAGAAGGTGCTGCTGAATTACTAGACAGTAGCACACAGATTTTAAACACATTTAAAATGTGGGTCATTCCAATAAATTCTGTGAGGCTAAAAAGTTTTCCTTCTCTACCCCTTCTCAGTGAGATGTTCAGAGAAATGTTATCTCCACCTTGCACCCCTTTGGAGACCAGAGCTGAGAAGAATCTGAGGTAGGAGCATCTGATGTGATCAGAGGAATTGTCTGACTAAACCATTCTTTGCATTTGAGGATTCATCCTCTGATCCAATAGGCAAAGCAAATAAAAAGCAAAATCTGTTACAAGTAACTCTTGTCTGAGGAAGGAGGAGATTTTTTTTCCCATCTTTGAGGCAAGATGAGGCACAGTGTTTCGGTTTCTGCTCCACAAAGAGGGAGTGTGGGTTTGGGCAGAATGTGTTACATTCTGCATGGGTACATACATGCACACAAGCACATACTTCTATTTCATTGTCTTACACTGCATTATACAAGTTCACATAGTCATTTTAACATACGATGCACAGCTATCAAAACAGCAGCTGCCTCGTCTCCCTACACAGGAAGCCAGTAGTGGGAGAGTTAAAAGGCTAAATAGAAACTCATACTCACTATTCCACTCCTCCTGTCCTTCATGCAAAGCTTTGCTGAACGGCTTTAGCTGTTTTTCATACATAATGGCAGTCTGGGTATAATGATGTCTTAGAGAGGTCCAGGTTTGTTCTAACCTAGTGACCTGTTCATATAAAGTAAAGAATACCCATTATTGACTCCGTAAGCAATTCACAGGAAAAGTACACTGCTAGTGACAAAGTTTCTGTCCTGATGATCTCTCTAGTCTTGAAGAAATTGCATAAGTTAAATAAACCATTAAACAACTCCATGCTTTGGAACATAAAGGAAACAGATTTTTACCTGTGGCATTTCCAGTGCTTTCATAATGGCAGAAAATGCATACAAATCCCCCAGCGAGTCCTTCAGCTCCACTGCAACTTGGATGATCCTATTTAATGTTGCTGCTCTATCTTCCAGATTTCCTGTGCAACCCAAAATATCCACAGCTATTCCTATTGCCATGGTATTGTGCCTGTAAGTGAAACAATTTATACTACTGGTTACAAATTATTACATTAATAATACATTATGCTGTACATGTGTTCAGAGAAAATCAATTCAAAGGTATATTTCAATATCACAGTGTGCCCAGCAAACTTACCAGCATCTTTGTATCGAGCAGTAATGCCGTTATATGGAATATATATACGTTGGCTTTGAATTTGTGTTTTAATAAATTCAATAGATTTTCTTAATATATTCCTACTATACAACATTCTGCTCAGGCAGTGAATGAATGAACACTTTTGGGAAAATTACCCCAACTCCCTTTGTCATCCACACTCAAACCCTGGGACCTTCCCCCTAAATTTCAGCAACCAAAGTACTGCAATCTGAATCAGAGAAGTAGAGAAGCTAGATCAGGGATGGAAAAAACCCTAATTGTTCCCCAGAACTTGTACAGAGGTTTTACAGAAAGCTTTGCTGATCATTTTTTACTTTACTAGATCTTCTAGCCTCTTCCCCAGTTGCAGAAGGCTACTTGCCTTCAGTCTCTTCCACTAACATGCTCAGCTAGATTATAGGTCCCCTGAACTTTAGTTTACCTGAGCTCTTGAAGGAGAGCTGAGAGTGTCAGCAGCTCCGAGGACCCTGCTTTCAGTAGAATTCCCCTTTCCCTGTATTACATGTATGGAGTTGCCCCATGATGTTAAGGAATTTTTCATATGCAAAAAAAAGTCATATGCCATCTCACTAAATTATCTTCTGTCTGTACACATGAATTCAGAAAATGTGCAGGAGAGCATTCTCTGAGGAAATGTAGAGTACAATGTAGCAATGCTCTGATCTTCTGGCCATCTGCCCTGGAAATGAGTAACAGGAACATTTACCTTTCAATTAGGTCAAGGCGCAGCTGATGTCCATAAGGCAAGGTAATCAGTTCAAGACCAGAGTTCACTCCCATAATCTTCCTCATCTCTTCAGAAACTTCTAGTATCCTTGCCACCTGTAAAGTGCAAAAATCTGTGCATGAATTTTGAAACTAACTTAGCCTAGCCATGTAGAAGTCCTCCAGGTTAGTGCAGGGCATATGGAGTTAAGTGCACAGCGTGTAACACTAGAATACAGTCATCTAAGAAAAACTTAACATGCACATTCAGTACCTTACACAAAGAGACCAGTAAAATATTTTTTGCATAATTCAGCCATCAGAAAACATATAAAAGGTGTGACCAAAATGCTTTATCGAACTTCCATCCTCTACTTGCGGAAGGAGATTCATATGCAAGCTCCAGGGAATGTGATGCTCTCTTGGCCTCTTCCTTGTCAGGGTGGCACTGCTCTTTTTGGCC